AAATGTTGCAAAAAGGTAATCCTTTCTACAACTTCATTTTATCATCATCAGATTTCTTGATAACTGGTACTAAGATAAGATGGCAATATGCAGGACCAACATATGTTCAATCACACATTTCAAATAGTAATTATGTCACTTAGGTTACCATGAATACAAAATCAAATGGCTTATTACGCCATTTCTAGACACTGCCAAGCAAACAAAGATACATCATAAACGACATATCTGATTTATCGCTATGGACAGAAAAAATACATTTTTATACATACTACTTGCCTTTTATGTCAGAGGAGGTTAAAAGCAATAAGTATTTTTCTAATTTGAACTTTACACATCATTAACAAAAAAATTTAAGTAACTCCACACAAGAAGTAGTATAAGTGTATATTATTTAGTATTAAATAAGCTGCTTGTAAAATTTTAAAATACTATAACGTCAAGACTCAACATTAAGTACTTAGAGTTCTTTACACACCCATTGATATAAAAATATGTATCACCTCTATGCAAGATAAGAAAAGTAAGGGAGAGAAGAAGTTAGGATAAGAAAATTATACCAATATCATATTACATGAATTATGGATGTTCAATTTAGGAAAACTAATCACATTTGTGTTAGAAAAAACTTACACTTTTAAAAGAAATATGAACACTCTCAAATGTTGAAATGTATGCATAGCTAAATAAGTTTACCTTCAAAAGTAAACAAGTAGAAACTAAACTGAGAAGCTTTGTGTGAGTAGGCATTTCGAGAGTCGAGACTCTAATGTGGAACATCTGAAACGAATTTGGAAGTTGATTTGGTGTGGTCTTTTGATGTACGGAATTGAAAAACTTTTGGTGGAAAGCTTTGAAATCCACCATTGTTGAAGCTTGGGTCTGACTTGGTGATAATAATTTCGGTTGGTGATAACCGTTCGAGGCTCCATTGATGAGATTCAACTGAGTTTAATTATATTCCAATACGCCATTAGTGGTCCGTCTTATTGAGAATATAGTTCTTTAGACTTGTAAATAATGAAAACCAAAAGGAAGAAAATGAATGTCGAAGATTTAACTCAGGATTTGGCCAAGTAGACGGACTCACAGTTAATAAGATGATTTCTCTGATAGTTATTCTGGCACTTGATTGAACACAGGATCTGTACCACTGGATGGTATAATCATTTTCTACATAGTTGACTCGAAAACAATAGTCATTTTTCCTCCCACTGTCCCACATTAACAACATACAACAAAGAGAACAAGCAAAAATGAAAAAACGAAGGAAGTAAATAAATACCGAAGATTTAACGGATGGACTCACAGTTGATAATTTGATTTCACTGAGAGTAACCACAATAGATATTCGGGCGCCTGATTGAGCACGAGATCTGCACTAATAGGTGGTATAATTCTTTTCCGCATAATTGACTCGAAAAGAGCAGACTCATCCTCCCTTCCACCTCTTGATCTAGATAGGAATAGCTCATCAACCTCTTTAAGATCTCCCTATAGAAGATAATAATGAAAACGCCTTAAAGTCATACACATTAATATTAGAATCAAAACTTACACGAGTGATATGTTGAGCTTTCAATCAATAAATACACTCTACTTATGGGTAGAAACATTGCTATCTGATTTTTTCAGGTTTATTTTTTTACATGCTTGAACAAAAATTTCACATCAGAATAAGAAACAACATGAGGATGGTTTAGCCCCCATATGCATGGTTTTGATGTGCGAGTAAGATTTGACATATGTGTTTTCAAGTAACAAACAAAGGTTAAAAACTAATTTTACACATCAATTTCATTCATTTCAACTTATGTATGTAGAGTTGAATGCACAACTATTAGTGCTACTAATGAAAAGAAAAATTTAGTATTGTAAGAAGGAGATGGGACATAGTCAAATGATACTTCTCACCAGAAACATCAGCATGCAAGATAATATTAACCTAATATTCAGTACAAAATATAACGTGTCAGAAGTCAGAATCAACCTTGGAACTTGTGTTATCGTAGTAGAGTAACATGTAAGCGAAGTAACTAAAGATAGATTACCTCAAGATGACTATTCAGATATGCAACCTGAATTAGGTCTCAATGGACTTTGTCACAACATCTGCAAATCATTGTAATTCAGTATGTTCAGAGGAAAAATATTTAGCTTTTCAGTAGATAACATAAGACCTACAATACCTATTAAACTTGCCAGAACCATATAGCATTTAATTATGACAATAAAGATAATTGCCAATAAAGATCATTTGTACATACATATATTGAACCAAAATTTTTATTACTTCTTTTGAGCTCCCTCATCTTCTTGAGTTTCTCATGAGTGACCACCTCTTACACTTGACTTCAGATTTCATTTGCACTTTTTTGGCTTCTCATTAATCATCTCCTTTGCAGATCTGTTCCAAATTACAGCCAAGAAACAATTCATTAGTGAGTTATAATTTTCTTGTGTTAGCTTCGAACCATTTGTGCAGTAAAACAATCAGTAAGAAACTACAAACAATGAGCACTATACATGAATAGGTTGACGTGATAACTTAACGATCTCTTCGATAGAAGGGTAAATATCATAGTAGGTTGAAGAAACTTGTCTAACCAAGAACATCATAAGATCAAGATAACTTGATAAATATCATGAGACGTCTCTGCTGGAATGTAAATTGATGCACATGCACCTTATTCATCTTACGTAGAGCTCATAACTAAATACTGCAATTCCTTTGTCAGATAGTGCAGTTTAGGTTTGAGAAATAGCAGGTTTATGTAAATACTTGAAATTCATGAACTAATTGAAATGTGCCTAAATGAACAATAATGTAACTTGCGAAGCCTATTTATACTGATGTGAAAAGCTGCAATTGAACCACGAAATATGAAGTTAAGGACCATAAGATAGGAAATTACTTACGCCACTTAGTTAATTCCTATGTCCGTGTATCACAATTGCCACAATCAGCCTTCGGAAGGGAAGAACATAAACCTTCTTAGCCAAATATTAAGATTCTTTAAGTTGATTGGTGAAATCTAGAAAAGCACAGTTTAACAGAATGTATTTTATATTTAATAATTTAGTAAAGGCATAGGCTACACTATCAAAACAGATGCAAGTCATGGTTACTTTGTCTGAAAAGTTCTTAATTTATCTAAAAGTGTGTTTTCCTTTCCTCTTAGGGAATGAAGGCTTGATGTGGAATATTTTATACAAGTAAGTGAAAGTGAAAACTCACATTATTTTAGGATAGTGCCATTAATACAAGCTGATGGTTATAGAGCTATAAGGATAGAGCTGAAAATATCTTTTTAGCCTTGATCATCCTTTGCTTGGCTTTTTTATATAGAAGAAATATATATGTATACATAACAAAACAGAAGAACAGATAAGAAATAAAAAGGTGTACTTGACACATCAATTCATAAGTAATTGAGAGTTGGGGAGGGGAAGTTTGAAAAATACAGCAAGTTATTGAGTTCAAAAAACTCATTCAAATCCTAAAGCTATATACAATCACATCTTTTGATATTTCACTTTCTTAGCTAGAAAACAAGAATAGAGAATGGGGATAAAGATGATATTTTCAATATGTACATGGGATGTTTAAAGGATATTTGAGCCAAATTTGACACTTAGGCCACTTGGCCAATCTGTCAAATTTTACAGAAGACTATCTTATATCCATTTGTTTTTTCTTTCGTAAAAGACACTTTAATATTTTTACACTGGCAGAATTTTGATTTGCCATAGGTGAATTGGCATGCCTAATGCACAACCACGTCCTTTCCTCTTCAGATTCAAGTTGTGAGGCAACTGGTACAGTGATACACGCCATTATCCTTTTTCCGACTCTTGGAGACATAAGGAACAAAATTACATTTAAAGGTTTTGTTAAATGATAACACGCACAACATTGTTTTTATATGTGCTCAATCTGGAGTACACGTTATGTATCTGAAGATAGATAAGAAGGGCTCATCTATATATGTATTTTGCTTTCATGAGCATATATTATTTATTATATAGCAGAGCAGATCAATTAGAAGATACTACTGACCTGAATTATAATAAAAGAAGGAGACACCATGGGAAACACTGGACTTGTTTCAGAGAAACTGAAATGCACCTTCCGTCAAGAACAGGCATCCCGTGAAACAGTAATCCTGGCATTTGTATTTTGATTTATATGTCCTAATATACATTTATTTGTCCTATCCCAGCACTCGTACCCGCACACCCGAATCAATTACCGACATGAATGGTGGTGTGAAATTCGAACAACACAAGTGTCTAGTCAAATTCACCTTTCTTTCCACGACTTTAAAGTTACTCTTGGAGTTGTAGGTGACATCTTGATCTATTGAATCATTGTTCTAGTGCAATTCCTGTTAATTATACCTGAAAAGAATATAAAAATCAACTAATAAAAGGTTTCCAAAAAGATAAATTGAATCTTTAAAACCAAGCATGTTTACATTTTACACAGGTTGCAGACCCGCAAATAAAAATGGAACAAGAAACCTTGAAAAGGCCTATGCATTAAGTGTGTATATATATATATATGCATACACATATGTAAAAAGAGTTGTAATGTATTATCATCAATAGTTATGCAACCCACTTTAACCTACAAATTGATAGTAAAGACGGATACCCAGTTTGAGCACAAAAGAGACGAAAATGTATAAGGAAGATGGATATTAGGTTGAGTTTGAAGAAGATTTGGGTAAAAAGTGTAAGAAGATGAAGAGAATTGAAACAATGGTATGAAATTGGGAGATGTTACGTTTATTTTTATTTTATTTTATTTTTTCTTGGAATGCTGGAGAAGAATGCAGACGATTCTAGAAATTGGATGTCAGCGTAAAATTACCAAATTACCCTTGGTCGTCCTTGGTTCACATTTCTAAAAAACTAGATTTATGCCGCCCGTGCTATGCACGGGCCCAACAAATTGCTTACTGAAAATTTTGATAAATTTCCGTTATTACGAGATATTTAAAATTAATTATTTGTATTACAAAGTTGTAAGGAATGCAAATTTATGTTTACAAAGATACTACAAAAGTGCCTCAGATATGGAGGATTGTCCATAGCCCTTTCCTGTTTGCTGTAAGTTTAACTAAAATAAGAAACTAATTTTTTTTTACAATATTTGATTGATAAGAAAAAACAAATAAACTATATAGATTGCTGACAGGATACAACTCCAGCTTTATTTCAACTGTTGCATATCATTCAAACTGCACCATATGAAGAAATGCATTAATGATCACCTAGTTAAGCTACCATTGAAACTTTGTTTCGAATCGTCAATAAATAACTTCATCAAAAAAGATTTACTATTCAAATTGATGGGTTTGAAACATATAGTATCTTTTAAGCAACCATCATATATGCCTGTTCACAAAATTTCAGTACCATAATAATTTGCAACATTTTTCGTAGTCTTCATGGGTGAATCTTAGATCAGGTGTATAGTGCACTTTCAATTTGATTTCAGTATTATCCTTAAAATCTGAAAGGATCTATGTACTTGCTCCTTAGGTTCATAAGATCAATAGTAGTGACAACATCCAAGTATATTAATGTAAACCTAGGTGTATGTCTAAAAATAAAAGAAAATAACAACAAGAAGAAAAAATTTCGATACACATCTTACATCTTACATCTTACATCTAAAGCTTCTAATGTAGAAACATTATAACAAAAAAATGAATTGGAGAGTAGATGAAGATGAAGATTCAGATAGTGACAAGATGATCATAATCAAAGTAAAAATATAATGTGAATAGATTATGGAAATGTCACCTTGGTATTGTTATTGTTAAAGAATTTAAGAGCAGGATAATCGTTAGGATCCTCTTTAAATATATATTCAACTAATTTTGCCAAGGTATCCACAACAACCTGAAAGCATGTAAGGTTATTGATTAGAACTTTACCTCGTACCTCAAAAAAGTAATAGAAGAACTATACAAATATCTAATACCAGAAAATCTACACAAAGTTCATCAAAAAGCTTGAATAACTAAATACAAGGGCAAGAAGGTGATGAATTTGACCATGAGGAAGGAGCTGCGAAATTCTCAAATTTAAAGTGGTGCTAATAAGAGGAAGAACTTTCAAATGATGCGTAGGTAAAATGTCTCAAGTAAAAAATAAGTAAAAAAAAAAAAAAAAAGAACCTTAAATACAATAAGCATGAAAGTTTAGACACTGCAAACTATAGATTAGCTTGACCAATCACAATGTGGCACTTTAGATTAAATCTATTTTGTTGAAACCATAAGAATAGATATTAAGCTTACTTTTACTCAATGCATTCTTATTTTCTAATATCTCTGTGTTCTTGACAATTATAGTTTTCTTTATAGAACAGAAAAATATCAACTTAATTGATGTCGTATAGCTGACCTCCGAAAACCCTCATAATTTATCGCAACAGCATGTAGTAGTGTAACATATAGCAAGATTAGTGGATCAATTAAAATTAGGACTCTAAATTAACCAAGTTCCCTTCCTAGTTTTGTAATATCAAAATGCAAGATATGTATTTCAGTAAATTTAGCTACAGTATCAGAAATGAAGATGAATAATAATTATAAAATTCATTCAATAGAGATAAACCTGCTTCAAGTTACCATTGATCTCTATCGTGCAACCTTAAATTGCATGAAAATTCTCTTTAAAAAAAACAAACACAACTATAAAATCTAAGTAAAAGAACAAAATGCTAACCTTGTTCTTTGCTAGGGTTCAACATTGTTTAGTCGATTCTTAGAACCATCAGACATGGTTTTTCTCCTGCACAGATACAAATTATCATTTGACATACAAAAAGTGCTAAGCCAAATTTGTGACTCAAGAGTCAAGAGAAAATGCATAATACATTTTTTGACGATTCGTACATGGGAACCTCCTTACTGTTTGTACTTTAAGTTCAAATTGTGTATCAACTCACTTATAGATGCTCCAAGTGCATAGTTTCCAAAAAACTAAAGAAGTCTAATAAGTAGGGAATGAAAGAATAATAGAACATTTTATTAGGTGGTGACATAAAGGAGAAACATGTTTTATGCACGGACCCGGCATATTAAATGCAACATCTGAAGGAGGAGTAAGACATTCCAACTCTAATCTTAAAACAAAAATGTAAGCCATATATATAAAATAGCTTATCCATTGACCAACAATATATGTAACTATCTTATCCATCCTAAAATACATTTCTGGACATCTAGCATATAATCTCATTAAAAGTCACTCTCTTAAAATAGGTATTTCTAAAACTGTAAATGTAAAATATATATGGACCTTTTGATGTTTCAACTCAACAGCTTCCAACAACTTCAACTATTAGGTAGAAATAGTGTTTCTCTCACATTCACAACACAATAAGCATTAGAACTTGTAACATGACATAGCCAAAGCAGGGAATTACTTGCAAGTATAAAGAAAAAAATAGAAATATAAGATGCATCATAGTTGGTTTAGACATCTAGGGTATTCAGTAGTAGTAAATTCATTCAATAACAACTTTCAAGCAGCGATCGTCTCCATTTACCATCCTAATTATAAAATTCAAGGCCATAGCATTAAAGGGTATAAATTTTAAAAAATCAAAAGTTTAGTAACATTAACTCCTTTAGTTTCTACCACTACTGCCTGTACATGACATATATAGGCTTAGCTTTTAAAATCTTGGCTACATGGTGGTTCAGAAAAAGTAGGAATACTATCAGTTACTTGTTTATATGGTGTTCAACTAAACTCATAAAGAGTTATGGAGAAGGATTTCTTACTAAGTTACTTTGGAATGCATCGTCGAGAGGCTTCTACCAACTGTATTTGCAGTATGGCTGATTGCAGTTCTTTGAAAGATGCTCAACTGATCATTTTGTAGGAGAAGCATCTGAAAAATTGTTATGCAAATATAGATGTTGTTGCTCGTAGATAATGGCATTACCATATCGCCTGAAGAATGGTGCTTCCCTATTGAAAAGATCCTGAAAAAAAGAGCAATATATATCTGAGAATTTTTCAGATATTAGGTGACATGCTATAAGTTCTTCAGCAATGACGCTTGACAACTAAATGTACTCGAGATTTTCTTAGCGATTTTGTTCTGCTTGTTCGAGCCTAGTATCAAGAAAAATGAAATGTGTTAAATGAAAAAAAAGAAGCAAAAACTTAGTCTAGATAGTTGATTCACAGCCTTATAATATTTGTTTTTCTTGCTGGTACAAAACAAGCAGTGAATTTATCAAAACTTGCATAAATAAGTAAGCAACTTTCAATTATATTAAACAGATCTTTCAATTATAGTTTTTTATAATGGAAGATAAAAGATGACTTCAGCATTGAGGTTTTTAAAAGTTCCATCATTCATCCTTGATTATAAGACATGACAAGCATAAATACACATGGATCTTAAAATCATTTATCACCTCTATATAACCATAAGAAAGTAAAAGAGGGAGAGATAAAAAGTTAGGATAAGAAAATTGTACCAATATCTTAATGCATGAATTATGAATGTTCAACATAGGAAAACTAATCACCTTTGCATTCTTAGAAAAACACTATCAAACTGTAGTGCATCTGACATAAAAACCCTCAAATTTATTCATAGCTAAATAAGTGTATCTTAGAAAGTAAATTAGTAGCAACTAAATTGAGAAGCTGTCCGTCGGTAGTCATTTCGAGACTCTAATGTTGGAACCTCTGAAAACGAAATTGGAAGCTGAAATTGGAACAATGTCCTAACAGCATGATCTTGTGGACTCTGTCATCAAATATTTTTTATGACCAAAAAACTTCCGAGATAATGGATTTATCATAATGTTGTTCTTCACTTAAATACAAAATTTGATCTAACACCCAAACATCAAACGTGTGATGTACATGCACATTTTCGCGTTCCACGTAGCACAACATTTACTGTTGAACCAAACCCCTAGAACATGGGGATTCTCTTGGCATTCGCCAACCATTTTTTTTAAAAATAAACTGATTGTTGTTTCTTCATAGGTACTCTTTTTATAGATCAACTAATTTAGTGAAGAACAAACAATCCCTTGGTCCCAAATAACAAGGCAACTTTTACCCTCATAGATTAAGAAAAATACTGCAGATAGTAATTTATTCGATTAGGTCATATGGTAAGACTTTCTCCTACATGTCAATTGTGTTTGAAAACATAAGGTACAGTAGATGACATGCTTATTCAATACAACATAACCTATCTATCTATAATTGTGGTGGATAATTGTTTTTTAGGAAAAAAACTATGCCACATCTTAGAACTATGTTTTTCTATTCAATATTTTAGTGCGTACTTCCTTTAATCTTATTCTTATTGCTTCCCAAGAGTCAAAACAATGGATAATAGAATAATTGGAAATTGCCTATGACATATTTCTCAAATAGGACTTCATCTATGACATATTTAAATAATTGTTTAAAGCCTAAACTGTAAATACTAAATACACCTCTGTGAAGGATTTCATCTATTCCATATTTAAATAATTGTTTAAAGCCTAAATAGCCTAAACTGTAAATACTAAATACACCTCTGTGAACAGGGGCAGAGCCAGCCTACTGTCAGGGGTTCGTTCGAACCACCTTCGGCAAAAAATATTACTATTTATACATGGTTAAAATGAATTTGTATGTATATATAGTAGATGTCGAACCCTCTCCAATTAGTTCGTGTGTTTACATCTTCAGATTTCGAACCCCTTATTAAAAATTCTAGCTCCGCTACTGTGAACTTCTAAAGCATCTTTTAGTCATTGCCACGGCCCTGTTGGTCCTATACATATGATTTTCTATGATGAAAGTGCAATATCTAAATAGAGGTGGGGTTGGAGTCACCCTCTAAAACCTAGTGATAAATGCTATAGCTTCTGTTGAAGTTCATATGAGAAACTCAAATCCAAAAGTGGAATAAAACTTCCTATCCTCAAAGTTTCGCAAGCATTTAGTTTTAAGTCGCCATCATCTTTTCATAAAAAAAATTATTTAGTCAAAAGTCACTACCTAAATGAAAATTTGAAACATATAAATATCATAAGAAAAATAAAGAAGAAAAATACCAAAAAGGAACAAGAAAAAAAAGTAACTTGGTACTGCTTTCCAGAAAATATGACAGTATATACCTGTATCTAATTCTAGATACCTTCAGGTTCACAATCATAAAGATTACAAGCTCTAAGTGTTTGTTGAAACGTCAGCACCTACAAAGAGATCAAAAAGCAACTGTTAAGAAAGCTGAAAATAGTAAAGGAACTGTATCGAATGTATACGCTTCTCTGCTAAAATATTATTGAAAGGGAATACGGAGAATTGAAAGCTATTCTTCCTTTGTTTTTTCCTTTTTATAAAGTTGGGGTAGGAAAAATGAGGATGAAATTACAATGTGGGTGGAGAATTGAACCTAGGATGGGAGCTACTGAGATTCCCCAAACGGAAGGCTATTCTGTTTTAGCAACCACCAATGTTTCTGGTTTGAAAAGGAGAGGAAGTTTTAGGCCATCTTCCTCAAATCTCGAACTGTATAGTTAATTTAGCTCATAACCCTTAAGCTTTAGGAGAAGTCGGGAAGAAGAGATATGATGAAGATGATAACACTTTGGCTCTTAGGCCTAAGCAAATATCAATTGTTAATCATAATCAGGAAGTATAGGAGAGAGATCTAGAACGATCTGGAAGGGAGAGGAAAAGGAACATCATTTGTTAAAATATCAATTATGCGTAATTACAATTTTACCCCTGCATATAATAACATAATCACGAATTTGCCCTTGGTCGTCCTGGGCTTCACTCTTCTATATAATATATATATATATATATATACTAGATGGTTCTTGCCTGTGATCAGCACGGGCCCAACATTTTAAAGTTTACATAATTTTATTTGTTTAAATCTTTCTTACAAATATGATTGAGATCTGAAATAGTAATAAATATTTCCAGGGGCGGCTCAACGTAATTGGGGGCCTAAAACGAAATTTCAATTCGCGGCCTAAAATATAAATACATTTCATAAACGTATTTATTCAAAAAAGAAAAATTACACTATTAAGATGAAAATTATTACTACTTAATATTATTTTTTGAGTTACTAGTTTTAGGTAAGATTTTATCAACACAACATTGAAAAACATCCTTTAAGTGAGACAATTATTATATGCATTGTTAACATAATGATATAAGTAATAAGTTGATAAATATTAAATAAAGATAAGAGTTAGAAGTTTAGAATCATAGAATTTGACTCAAAAAGTTGATGACTTGGTATACCTCATTTTAATATGCTTAGAGTAATGCTTGAAACTAAAATTTAAAAAGAAATAAAAAAGAATTTGTAATTCACTTTGTTAACACTTTTCACTATTAATTCTTATTTTTAACAAAGTACAAAAGATGTTAAAGTGGATAAAATAATTTATTTTAAAAAAATTATACTTTTTATCATAAATAATTAATTTTTCTATAAAAAATTTAACACATAATTTATTCTTGACAAAAATTTG